GTTGGAGGGGTGGGATCTTATATGACGTGAAGCTAGTTCGGGGTGATGGCACTGATGTTTATGTGTCCCGGCAGTTAAGGGGGTGGTAACCGGTCCTTGTGAGACCGCAGGTCTGGGCTGAGCTCCATCCAAGTGATGCATGTGTCTGAGTGACAGGTCCTGGGGAGGCCTGTTCTGAACAAGTCGGGCTGCTCCTTTCGTACTCATGACCCCTTGTTTTACTCATTACTTTAGCAGCATCCAAACACAACCAGGAAGGGCAGGCAGGATAAGACACAGCCAGTGGGAGGGGCAGTATTTGAGCGGCCTCCAATCTCTGCACTTGGAAGAGGAGGGAAGTGAAAAAAGAAGCAATGCTGGACCGAACTAGCATAAAGCCAGTGGGTACAAAGGAAGGGATGAGCGCCAGAAAGCCTGAAGGCCTTTGGTCAAGGCAAGTGACAGCAAGGTTTTAGGTTTCCTGAGCCCGCTTCAAGTCTCTTACTTCCAACACTGGCATGAAGAGAGCTTCCTGGAGAAAAGCCCCTCATATTCCTAAGAAAAGCCCTCACCTCAGCCTGCCCGGCTGAGGTCTGCTGACATCGGCCGCCACACGGCACTCAGGCCTGAAGAGAGAGCGGTTGGGCCGGGACACTTTGACTGACACCAGTGACTAATCCTTCCTGAAACCACACCAGCAACTACTGGGCCTGTGGGGGTTCTCCAGCTTCACCTCCACAACGCAGAGCAAGGTTAACACATTTTGGAAGACTTCACTAAAGGCTAAGGGGGTTCATAAAAAGAAATAATTCCCCCAAGATAAAATGAATTCTGAAACAAGATACAGGTCGGTCCTTTCCCACGCACGGCACACAGCAGATGTCAGGCTTTCCTCTCTTTGGGTCTGCCCAGATGGCACACCCCACCTTTAATGTCCGCAGCCCGGCACCCCTCCCAGGCAGGCGCCTCAGAGTCACACGCTGAGAGCAGCAAGCACGGCCAGGTGCTCGTCCCCGTTTGGAATCTGCTTTCCACCCACTGCTGGGTCCGAGACATGACTGCACCTCAGCGGTGCAGCTGCCGTGAGCCCAACCAACAGTGAATCGAATCCACACTCACAGACACCCCCAGATGCAGACACGCGTGTGGGAAGACACGCCGACACACACAGGGAGGTTTCCAAAAGGAGCATGTTCGTGTAAGTCGGGAAGACAGTGAACGTGGTAGAAGGGACAGGACTTGGATGCAGGAATCACTGAGGTGCCAAAAATACATCCGGGGGAGACCCCCACCAGGGAGAGGATGTTCACCAGAGCCCCCCTACCCCCAGGAGGCTGCCCTGGAGATGTTGATGTTGGCCTTCTTGGAATCTAAGAAGGAAGTCTGGGGGGGAGGGGGGGCAAGAGCTGGGGGTCTCTCGCACACTGCGCGGGGTGGCACAAGAAGAAGGAGGACCTGCCAAGAAATAAAATAGCTGTGAGACAAATGGAGGTGAGGAAGAGGCTCTCAGAAAGAAGTCGTGGGCAAGAGTCCAAAATGCGTTAGAGAGAAGAGGGTGTGATGGCTAAGAAAGCCCAGGGGGGTTGAAGTGAAAGAGCACAGCTGCCCTGAGGCAGGATTTATTTAGTAGAGGGCTGGGGAAGGTCAGAACTGGGCCTCCGGACCAGAGATGGGTGGGCAGGCAGGGCAGGTGGCCCCCTCCAGGGGAGAGTCCGGTGGGAGGGGACAGCAGGAGACCCTGGGTGAGCAAGGGGCCGACCCTGCCCCTGTTGTCACCACTGCGTTCCCCCACCAAGGCCAGTTCCTGCAGGGAACAGGGGCTCACGGGAAAGGCAGTGCTCACTGCCTGTGTTTGTTCCATTAAATAAATAAAGAGAGCCTGAGCAAGCAGGGCTGGGGACCTGCGGGGAGGAGGAGCCCCCTGTTGAGGCAAGGGTGTCACTCACAGAGTGCTGTCTCTCGAGCCCTTACCCAGCAAAGGCAGCCTCGTCACTGCGGGGCTGGGGTTGCTGGGTGAAGGCCTGGCCTAGAGGTTAAATTAGCCCTTTTGACTGTTTTGGGAAAAGAGATTATTGCAAGCCAAACATTAGAAGCTGGTGGGCAGCCTGAGTGTCTGCAGAGACAAACCCCTCTCGGCCTTGGCCATGAAGCCGTACCAACAGGCGGCTCAGAGGGCTCCTGAGAGCTGGTTTTTAAGACGGGCTCTCCGTTTGGGGGCACAGGGACGAAGGTGTACAAATCCAGGTGAGCACCCACAAGGTTGGAAAAACCCAGTAAGGGCCGGAGGGCACTGAGCTCAGGCAGTTACTGACTGCTATATTCTGTGTTCGCTCCCTCTGTCCTGCCCCACAGTAAAGACTTCGGAACTGTTTTTGTAACCTGGCTCCTTACTCCAGGGATATGTTGCTTCCAGTAGCTGTTTCATGCTGTTCAATTTATGTTATCTACTATAGATAGTTAAAATAAATCATTTTAACGCTTCTTTCCCAATTCAGATTCCTGTTTCATCTTTCTCTTGCCTAGCTGCGCTAACTAGCACTTCCAAAGCTACGTTGAAAGTGGTGAGCATGGATGCCCTTGTCTTGCACCAGATCTTAGAGGAAAAGCTTCCCATTCCTCACCAATGAGGATGATGCCAGCTGTGAGTTCGTCATCTATGGTGTTTGTTAAGTTTATATTGCTTCTGCCCCCATTTTGGAGGGAGTTTATCAAAATATTTTCATATGCTTTTTCTACAAATACTGGTATGTATAATCATATGATTCTGGAAAGTTCCAATGGGGTGTAAGAATGTAAAAGGGTTCAGCCACACAATGGTGGCAGCAAAAGACCACACTGATGAGGGACACGGTGTAACCAGCCAAACACGTTAAAGCTTTAAGGTTGGTTTCATGAGATGGCAAGAAATCCCTTTGGAGGGGATCTAGGAAAGAACTTTGGTACTTTTTCCCCGATGCTCATTTTGTTTTTGTTTGAATCTGATGAAGGAGAGTTGAACAGATATGAGATTTAAGGGGGAGAACCTGGCAGGGAACACAGACAGAAGGCAAAGTTATAAAATGTTGACATAATGCAGTCAAAGCCTTGAAGAAAGGCGAGGCCGTGAGATCCATGGCTAGAGGACAGACCAGCTTTACAGCACCGTATATAGACTTAGAAAGTGCAGTGGTAGGAGAAGGCTAGAAAATACTCCTGTATGGCAGGCCTAGAAGGCAAGAGACAGACAGGCTAGGGAACAGAACAAGGTCCCAGGAGCGACCAGAAGATACGAGGATTCCTGCTGTCGTGAGAGGCTAGATGGCTGGAATTTGCAGAAATCCTAATCAGCATGACTTAATTCTAGCTGCAGCAGGCCTTGGCAACTTGGAAAGGCTTTCTGCCTTTGGAGATGCAGTTCTGTGCTTCAGCCAAGTTTAGTCCATTATAATGGAGTCACCACGTACTGATTCATAATGAAGGGATAAACTCGCACCTCTGGCAGACCCTCTCATTAGACATTAGAAACAACACTAAAGTCAGGTTCTAATTAAAAGAAGCACAATTAATCCACCCTGGTTTTTTTCCTTCAAACTGAGCCAAACTGAACTATTTCCTACCAAGACTGGGGTCTTCCAGGTGGAAGGAATTTCAGCAATCATCAAGTTCAACCTCTCGTGATTTCTTTTTTAGGCATCAATGGCATAGTCTACCTGCATTCACTAGCTCCCATGGGCTGCACAAGCCTCAGTCTTCCATTCAGGACACCTGGGGCCATGGAGCTGAGCTCTGGCTAATGGGAAGTTGGCGAGCATGAGCTGGGACACTCCCAAGCCTGGGCCCTCTCAAAGAAGGAGGACTAGTCAACCTGCATCACATGAGCCTCTACAGGAGAGGCAGCCTTCCTGTCATACAGGCATTATGGCTTTGTTGGTTTCAGCTGCAAACATTAATCGACCTTCAAGCCTTCTCTTATTGACCTAGTAACTCAAAGCGTTGCCCATTATGCTAGAGGAGATGATGATTACTCCTGCTCACAGATTCAAAGGATGAAAAAGACAGAAGCAGTCTTGAAACTCGGTTCTGCAATATGGAGTACCTTACTTGTCTAACGGTTACTATTTGAAATGTGATCTATATGAACTAAAGCCTCACCCCAATAAGAGCCAGGAAAGGGGCACACGAGGACTTAAGACACCCCAAATAGAGAGCCACATAAAGTTTTAGAGCTTCACCCATCCATCTGTATGATGTAGCTCTCTATTCATTTCCTTAAGCTACTCTGGCATAAATAAAACTGCCCTGGAAATCCACTTTGCCATCGCATTTCAGATTGCAGGAAATCGGAAGCAACAGTAGAAAGGTGCTAGAAAGGCTCCAAACACAATGTTCTGAGAGTGAAGGAGACGTGGAGACTCTACAAGGCAAGGCGGAGAAGAAAGCATCCTTTTTAGAGGGTGACTGCTCCTCTGAGTCAGGAGGGCACTGTTGGGGAGCTCAGCCCGAAACTAATAAAAGTGACTGGATGTCCTCAACCAGCCTTCCTCCTTCTCAAGAAGGTAGGCAAGTAGGTAAGCCTCTGGACATGGTTACTCAATATACTCCACTGTGTCCGGGCACATACTTGCTTATTTGGAAAACTCATTTGTGAGGGCCACCTCATTTTCCTGGGATGCCACTGGGGCCATCTTTGCTATGATGCCCACTGATGATGCTCAGACTATTTATTTACATGGTGTTTGACAAAGATTAGTGGTTCCCCCCAAGTCGACCAGGTGTACACCTACCCAGCACAAACGACATTCAGCCAGCACCAAAGCCCAAATCCAAAACAAACACCATGAGGAGAAAGGACCTTAGACATCATGGGGACCAAGCCTGGGGCAGCAGTCAGGTGACCTGAGAGCGCCCATTCTCCTTGTCCTGCTGGAGGAACCAGAGCGCCCCTCTTCAGAAGCCAATGTGTGATCCTCCCCATCACAACTGCCCTTCCCTGGTCAGAGCCACAACCTCATCTTCCCACCCCACTGGCCAGGTGCACTCACCTGCAGGAAACAGTGGCCCACGGGAGCATGCTCCACCAGGCTAGCGTTGTACACCTGTCTCAGGAAGATGGGCTCGTTGTCATTCACGTCATCCACGGTGATGCTCACCAAGCAGGTGGCGGACAGGGGGGGCTCTCCAAGATCTTGGGCCACTACTCTCAGCTCCACTGCCTCCTGGACTTCCCGGTCCAGCCTCCGGGAGGTGCTGATGACACCACTTTCAGGATCCATGGCGAATGAAGGTTCACACTGCGCCAAGGGCCCCGAGTCCCCTGGCTGGCACCCACCGTGGAGGTACACCAGGGAGTAGCGCACACGGGAGTGGTTGGTGCCAGCCTCGTCGGCATCAAAGGCGCTGACCCACACCACCGGGGTGCCAGGGACCGCAGCCTCGGACACGGAGGCCCTGTAATGCTCCTGGCTGAACACAGGCAGCTGGTCGTTGAGGTCGGCCACTCTGAGCAGCAAGGTCTCCTCCGTACTCAGCGGCGGGGAACCCGCATCCGTGGCCACCAGTCGCAAAGCGTACAGGTCGCGGCTCTCCCTGTCCAGCGGCCCCTCGACGCAAAGGAAAAAGACTCCGGGAGAGCCTCCAGGTCGCAAGGCAAAGGCTCCCTCCCCGCCGTCCAGCGACACGGAGATGCTTCCGCCTCCCATGCCCAAACCAAGTTCTCCCGAGGCCTCCTCGCGCCCATCCGGGCCGCCGTCCGCGTCGGACACCGAGACTCGAGCCACGTAGTCTCCGGGTCCGGCGCCCTCCGACACGCGGGCAGCGCCTCCCTCGGTGAGGAAGAGCAGGTGAATGGCGGGCGGGTTATCATTCACGTCCAGCACGGCGATGGACACGCGCACCGTGGCCACCTCGGGCTCCGCACCTGCGTCGCGGGCCTCCACCACCAGCTGGTGCCAGGCTTGCGCCTCGCGATCCAGCGGCCGCTGCACGCTCACCACGCCGCTCAGCTCCTCCACGGCGAAGTAGGCCGCGCTGCCCGGGGTCCCGCCGCCGCCGCCACCCGGTCCTGGCGCCTGGCGGGCGCGGAGGCTGTAGCGCACTTGGCCATTGGGCCCCAGGTCCGGGTCGGTGGCGCGCACGCGACAGACCAGGGCGCCCGGCGGAGCGTCCTCGCGCACGGCGGCGCGGTACTCGCTCTGCTCAAAGACCGGCGGGTTGTCGTTCTCGTCCAGCACGCGCAGCTCCACGCGCAGGTGGCCCGTGCGCCGCGGGCGGCCGCCGTCCCACGCCTCGATCTGCAGCTCGTGCGTCGCCGCCAACTCCCGGTCCAAGCGCCGCAGCAGCACCAGGTCAAGGGGCTCCAGGGGCGACGAGGACCCCCGCGTCCCGTAGCGCAACTGGAAGAATGGCCCCGCGGGGTCCTCGGGAAGGCCGGGCGGCTGGAGCAGCGTGTAGCCCTGCGTGCTGAACTGCCCGGCGTCGGGGTCTCGGGCACCTGGCAGGCGCAAGGCGGTACCTGGCGGGCTGAGCTCTGAGACGTCCAGTCGCAGGGAGTCGCGGGGAAAGCGCGGCGAGTGGTCGTTCACGTCGTTGACGCGGATCTCCACCTGCACCACCGCGCCCAGCAGCGTGGCGGCCACGAAGCCGTAGCGGTCCCGCCGCTCGCGGTCCAGGAGCCGGGCGGTGCGGATGATGCCGGTGTCCGGGTGCACGTGGAAGTCGTCCAGCAGCGGGGAGTCATCGGAATCCTCGGACAGAAAGAAGCCGCCTCCCTCCTGCTGCTGCGCGGCCGGCAGCCCGGCGCGAATGTCGCCCACGAGCGTGTCCGGAGGCAGTCCCTCGTCCACCGCCAGGCTGAGGTTGAACACCTGGGCAGAGGAACCCGAGGCCGCCCACAGCCACGCGTGCACTAAGAGCGCGAGCAGCCGGCGCTGCGCCCTGGCGCCGCCGCCACCGGGCCGCCCGCCGGGTGACCGTGCCCTCGCCCGCAAGGGAGGGCGCTGCCCCGCGGGAGTCCCCAGCTGCTGACTCCCGTCGCCCATCCTCTGCCCAGACGGGCTCATGTCTCCCCCAGCTCCTCAGGAAGGCTCCCGGGTAGCTGCCAGGTCGCGAAGGGATGACAGCAGATCCAGGAGTCTCTTCGGTGTCGGAGCCAAAGAAGAAAAGACTTTGTTTGGCAAACAAGCCAACAGACCGAGGAGTTCCCGGGGTTACATCTGCAACTGGTGAAAGCGCCCTCCGCCTGGAGCTCCTGCAGTCAGGGAAGCTCTGGCAGCCTCGGCCGCCGCAGCCACCTCTTCAGCCCCGGATTTCTCTAACGGGGCTCATCTCTTTTTCTCTCTCCGTTTATTCCTTTACATCTGTTCCTTGTTCTGCTCGGCTGGCTGTTTCCCCCCTGGTAAAGTCAGGTGCATTATTTCTTTTGCCAAAAAGGATGAAATTATTTCAAGCGCGCGCACACCCGGAGAGGGTGGGGGTCGGGCCGGGAAGGGGGTGGAGTAAGGGCGGGAGGCGGAGAGTGCGG